CTGAGACAAACATTTGAAAAGAAGCGTCCCCCAGGAAACCTGGACACGGTCCTGTCAAGCCCTACAGTTCATGCCGTGCTCCTGTCACTGAAGGGGAGAGTGTTAAATCCTCAACAATGGGGTAAACTTTATCCTGCTGTCAGGTCTTCAGTGTCATCGAAGAATTTCGACATAACTCTTCTAATGCTTCTGTTGAGGAACATTTGTGGTCTTGTTGCTCCACCTACCGGCTGGAATACACTTCCTACTGCAGCAGACATGTCCCTTGAGGCAGATATCGTTCGCATCAAGTGCTACAGAAACACAGTTTATGGTCATGCCAGCGAGGCTTCAGTTGATGACGCAACATTCAATTAATACTGGCAGGACATCCAGGGTCCATTGGTGAGACTGGGAGGAGCAGAGTACCAAAGTGCTATTGATGATCTGAAAAAGGAATGCATGGATCCCGATTTCGAAGAACACTACAAAGAGCTTCTAAGGCAGTGGGTGAAGGATGAAGTTAGCATCAAGGAACGACTCGATGAAATGTCAGAGAAGTTTGGTAAAAGGCTGGACGAAATAGAGGAAGCAATTGTCAATCCTTCAAAGAAAGCAGGAGACAAAGGTATTGCGTATGAGGATAAAATTTGCGCAGCGGCCTTGAAGGGAAAGATTGCAGGGCTTCTCGTCAGAGGGTAATAAGCAGTTTAGAAAATCTTATCTCAGTAAAGTAAAATGGCTGCCTTAAAAAAAAACCCTAGCTAGGAGAAATCTCTTCCACTAAAACTCATTCCTCTCTAAACCAAAATAGAAAAAATACCAGGTGTTGTCTCTTCCATGCTTTTTGCGCGTAATGAGTGAGTTATAAGTCTTTTTCTCTTTTCTTTATTTCTCGTGCGGAGAATGATGAGAATTCATAGTTTAAATAGATTTCCAATAAGAGTCACTTGCAGTAAGTGTTACTAACCTGGTCGGGTTCGTCGAGACAAAGAGATAGAAAAAGGTTAAAGTTCTCAATCAGAACTGGAGACCACACGACGCATTCTCTTTCCCAAGTTTACTTAGGCCTTACTCACTACTGTAAAAACGAAAAAATAAGTTATTATTATTATTTTTTTAATCGGAGGTTGGAACACCCCACACCAAAATTTTCTCGATCCGCCCACGAAATGGGTCGGTTAGTACGGGTACTCGCATGATTTCGAATGCAATTTGGGATACATCAGAAAGAGTTCTTTTAAAGCCAACCAATTGTAGGAGCTCGTAGGGCTCGTGCAATTAGCAGATTTTGAAAATTTACAAGTACTGATTTGTGAAGGTGTAGTTTGATCATCCGGGTGAGTGTATTCCTGAGAAGGACTGTTGTCGGTGGTAGTGACTAACGTTTC